AAAAAAGTGACACAAGTGCGAAATCGAGGTTACCAAGAGGTACTGCTACTGTTGTGAAGTTGATTTTGAATTAGTTCAATTACTGTCCGCTAGAAGGTGAATATTTGGTACAATCTATAACGAGTATTACAGAACTACGAAACTAAAAATTGCAGTTTCTGAGATATCAGAAATTTGCACTTGTGTCACTTTTCTTTTGGAGGTGCGATATGCAATGTCCTACTTGGATCGTCTTCTCCACCGGCACGATATCTCATTAGCCTTCGATAAATATTCTCACCGCATCAGACTCAATCAGACTGCCACCATCAACTCCGTACCGGTAAAGGTCAGGGCATTAACTGACGTCACTGCCTTGCCTCTGATGAGAGGTCCTACGGTTCGTGTCCCGACCTGGCAGAATTTTTGACACTTTCAAGACAGCTAGATCGTATTCAGCTTCTGACTGGAGGAGAATTATAATGGTCTGCTGATCTGATCTGTAGTTTCCCATGGTTTCTCCGATAAACACTAGGCGAATGACGGAGCAGTACCCTAACAAAGGGGCCACGGACCGAACGAGAAATTTCCTTTTTCTTCCTTGTCATATCCTCTTCCCCTTACATACACTCACTCTCGAATGCACTACACTAACAGACTTGTCGGGAGACCAGACGGGCGCTTAGAGCTTGTCGCGGCTGGGGCGGCGCCTCCGTGATGAGAGATACCTGACGAGGGAAGCCAACTCCCGCAATGAAAACTTGCTCTACATTTACGAGACTAATGGCCTAACTACCTGACGGTGAAATCAATTAAAACCATCAACGCCGCAAACGAATCCGCAAAATCACCTCACTCATAACCAGTATTACCACTGACACTCTCTAGAGCGTCCTGAGATATGTCGCCAACACCGTCAGCGCCTCTTTCTTTAGGTCGACGTTATTTCCCGAATTTCCTCAACCGTTGCCATCGCCAACTACATTATCCCTCCCGTTACCACCGCTGGCACCGCCCTCTCGCCTCAGCCGGCTGCAGTCGGTGCAGTGCCTCCGCCTCCGCCGCCCCCGGCGCCGGCGCGCCGCTCGCGCTTGCTTCCGGCGTCGGCGCCGCCGTCAATCACACAGCGTTTCCGGCGCGGGGCCATCAGCCTCTCATCCAACGCCGCTTCCATCTCCACACTACCCCTGCCGCAGTGCGACTCGGAGCCGAGGTCCCAGGGCTCCAGCCCTCACGCCACTGGTAGCTAAGACAGACGAGGTCTCGAGAGGAATTCTAGCGGCCGGCTACTCTCACCTGAAATTTTCCGTGGGTTCTCCGATCAATGCCAGGCGAGCGCGGGAGTAGTACCCTAACAAACGGGCCACGGACCGCGCGCTACCTTTGTTTCCTTATCTTTGTCTCCTTCTCTCCCTTAACGCATGATGGGAGACCGGTGGGGAACTCAGACAAGTCTGAGCTGGAGGTGTGTCCGCTGGTGAAGATACCTGGGGGGGGAGACCCACGCTCGCATGCCAACGTTTAGGTCGACGCTGGATCTGATGTTCTTGTGGGGATGAGAATTGTTACCGCCCGCTCCAGCAGTATAAAATGCATTATACTTATGGAACTAATGACACTCGCATTTGACGCGCTGGGAAATTATCAGTCAAGCAGTGCCGCCTCCTTCGCCACTGTCAGTGAAGACGTCCGCCAGTCTCTGCCTCACTCGGGTGAAGCGTTTCTGTGCGCCAGGCCAACCACATGCAGTTCTGCCTCTTCTGACTGCGGTGCACATCTTGGAACTCGTCTCAGAATCTCTACATCTTTTCGTTTGTTAACACACGCTCAGCAAAATTGGAAACACTATTCACGAACAAACCGGGGCTTGCAGGTCGTAACTCATAGTTAACGGCCTGATCTTGCGACAATTTACTAAATTAAACGTTTTCTTAGCTTACAAATACTACAACTGAATGTTTCTAAATTATAAAATTCTACTAACCTTCTGGAAAGTCGTCATTCACTATCCATTTTTAATTTTAGAAATATTTAAGTTATCGGGCTAAGAAACTTTCTCAACGACAACTTGGACAATTAGTGAATATATCAAATTAACAATATGCCAGGGGACATTGCCCTGTTTCCCGACCGGAGAGTCATATTTGATAATAATCATTCCAAACGCGGACGCAGCGTACTTTTCGTATCATCTTTCGTGAACAGACGCCCCGGCAGCGTCAGGAATCGGCGTAACCCTTTCGGGGTTAAATATGCGCGGGCAAATATTGCATCTTACAGGACCCGTGAAATCACGCGTCTCACTTGCATGGCAACAAAAATGATTTTGTGCACATTCTAAAGCAGGGTACAAAGTCCTAGATACACAAATACAGATTTCCATTGAATTTCCAATTACAACTCCTGTTTAAAGATATTTTAAAACAAGTCGTACCAAGAAAGCCATACAGTACCGCTATCTAGATTATCAAACCTCAACTACAAGTAATTTCGCCAATAAATTACAAAGATCGATTTTCATAACAGGAGAATACTGATACGAGCAATTTACTGAAAGCTAAAAGACATCTCAAAGTTTTAATACGTCATGTATCGTTATTTTTTACATTAATTTCGTAAATACCGTGTTTATTTTACTGCAGGAGAGAAAGATGATAGAAGTAAATATTTCTAGAATAGAAGTACTCTAGAGGTGACAAAAGAACAAACATTTGAGAAATTAATGTGTTTAAAATGCTAACAATTTATTTATTCAACGTCAGTTAAAAATTGTGTGTCACGTACTATTGGCAGAAGTGTATTCTGTGCACGTTTTCCAAAATGGATCCCAACCATAATCTATATTGTACATGTATAATTATGAATACAGTTGGAAACAAGCGTTTGTGGCAAGAATTGATTAGAAAGTAATCGCTCCCATATAATAAAAACTCCAGTAAGGTAATAAATACTACACGATTCCATCAATGGATTTATCATATGTCGGTGATTTTTTTTATTAAAGTTCGCATTGACATCTAGGTCATTGGCAACCACTATTGCATTTAATGGTTCGAAGCCGTTTTGTTGAGATCAAATTGCGAATGGTTGGACTGAGATTTAATCGCATTAACACATACGTACAACACATGACTTCAAATCATATTTATAAATATCATACATTTTGTCCCATCCGTAACGTGTTCAAAGGGGGGCAGGCATGCGCCAGAGGCCACCCTCCAGGTCGGCCTTCACTTCAAGAGTCCGTGCAGGGGGCGTCGCAGCGTCACGTGTCGGAGGCCGCGGCCGCGCCACGCCACCGCCAGTGCCAGTGCCAGTGCCACCGGCCGCCCGCGTTAGATAACATCCGGCCGCCGCCGGCGCCTGCCAGCGACGCGATTCGCCTCAGCGCGAGCACCGGATGCGGAGGCGTCGGCCACCCCCCCCCGGGAAGGCGGGGCCAAAGGCGAGACGCCAGGGGAGCGAGGTCACCCGAGTGGACAGCGGGACGCTAACGCAGGCGAGCTCCACAGCCAAGAGACTTCGGCGCAGAACGCGTGCGCTGATCAATCGGTTTGCTTCTTGCGCTCGTCGTTCCTGTCTCCAGCGGTTTTCTATTCCTTCATTCGGCATTCAACAGAACAACGGAATCGTTGTCGCAACACCTATGATACAATGACTGTAGTGGCTGTGCTGTATGGCTGTGGCATGGACAACAAAAAAATCGATGTTTTAAAACATCGAAACTCGAAATTAAACATTCAAGCTCACAAGAAATTGCCCCTAAACTATCGATATTTTTGAAGGGCCTACGGCACATGGGTTGGGCGCCTCTCCACGTGAGAAATAAGAGGATATACTAGGGCAGCGGTGTCGTCTCTGGGGAAGGGATTCTGCTTGATGAAGGTAGTCCTAACACCGAGAACCGAGAGTGGTATCATATATTATTTCATATATTAACTTATATACATTTTGAGTACGGAACTTTTTCAAATCCAAACATAACATCGATGTAAAAACATCGGTAATCAATCGATGTTTATAATGTCGGTGTTTGAACAAAATCATCCATGTTTTGAGAACATCGAAACCGATATCGTATTCCCAGTGCAGTGATTGTTTAACAAGATTTAATTCGAATTTTGGCATTTATTTTGTTTCTAAACCAGATACTGTCAATCCCTATTCACCGCTGATATTGTACGTGTGCAATCGTTTATGTGTTAAATCTACTGTGCCTAAGAATTCACTCATTAAATGTTAAATGAGTGCGAAAGTACCTATACATTGCTATCAGTATCTCGAAAAGTATTGAGAACAAACTTGTTGTACTTTTAGGAATCAATAGAGAATACAATTGAAGTGTCTCGAGCGGATGACGGCAAGAAGAGTAGGGTATAAGAGAGAAAAGGCAAATGAGTAAAATACGAAAGCGAAATATGTCGAAACAATGCAACATCAAAACTCACACAGGAGTAATTTCCGTCTAAATAAATTGAAAATATAATTCAAATTGACCTCTGCCACATAACCGCGAAGTTTCTGCGAACGCGTTTTTGCGCTTTTTCTCTTTGTTTTGCAGCTATCTTAAGAACGGAAGAAATGCATCCAATATCATTTGAATAATCTGCACCCTCGGAAAATTGACCATTTCAAACCGCAATTCCACGTCTACTGCTATTCTGGAGCGCACGGCTCAAATACATTCCCGCTTAGCACCGTGACTCATTGCAGATACACTTAGCCAAGACCCCTGCTAGCAAACGTACCCTTTCCCAGCATTACTACTGGCATTTCCCAACCAAAACATTCCGCAGTGCATACGGCAGACAGTTCGATAGCTTTCTACGTAGCATGCGAAGTTATCTAGAAGACAGAGAGTTATTTAAAAGTTTGAAAATATAAAATAACGACATCTCTGGGATACAACTAAAACGCGATCTTCCCTGATCATCATTCAACATATTTAACAGTAAATTGCAAACAACGCCAATACTGTATTTAGTTCTGCAGACTGTATTGATACATTTCGTATAATCACCTTACAACTTTGCAGTCAGCGAAACAAGTTTGTTCTTGAAGCGTATTATAACTTTGCGTAGCAGTAAATCATTTCCTTCTGAACACAGCAATACCTCGGACAACTCTGTTGAGTACGTGTGTTCAAAATCAACGTCTAATTCACGAAACGCGTTCGGGATAAAAGGTAACTCGAAGGAGCCCTGCGATTGGTGTTCTCTCCAGACAATTTCACTTGGCCACGGAATTGTGCCTCCAACAACTCACCAAGTGAACGCCTTTGGTTTTCTTGGAGCCAGCGCTGCCGTCCCGCGTCCTTTCCGCCGGGTCGCGCCACGGCACGCGGAGACCCCAGCGCGTCAAGAAGCAAGGAGACCGTTTACCTACCTGGAAAAAACACAACAAAAACACACACATTAATGTGGTGAAGTGATGCGAGCTCGCAACACACAAAGAAGCATAATGATCATATGACGAACATCAGCAAAACTGCCCTTGCGAAATATCCAAGCGTACGTGGTATTAACACTCGATATTCTACGAAGTGCATGCACTTGAGAAGGTACACGTAGAAAGCAGCTTCGACCTCCGTAAGATGCTGCAGCAGCACACACACGGATAAATGTCCTTCTCCACAATGAACCAAGTACACTTTAGAGACCAGTTTCTACCACCGTGACCCGAGGTCAATGTCATGCAAGTCGAAGACAGCTGCCTACAAGGCAAGACTACTCATCCATCCATCGTGTTCACTGAGCAAAAACCATCCTCAGCAAGGGCCCTGCAGCGGGAAATGATCGACGGCTGCACTGAAGAGAACGGCCGGAACTCGGAGGCCGAAGTTGGGAGGGGGATTAAATTACACGAGAAAACGAAATGCCACTGAATGAACATGTTTTAAAGGTCACATATTATTATTATTATTATTATTATTATTATTATTATTATTATTATTATTATTATTATTATTATGCCAAAAAATTACAAAGGTCTAACATTAATCACTAGCATTTCAGCATTCTACAAATCGGAAAAAAGTGATCTTCCGGCAAGTAAGCGAGAACAAATCCCTTGTGCTGAACTGCTGACTACCCGACCCCCTTCGCGACGGTGGCGCGTTCTGGAGACGTCCGGAGTCGGCTCCACTCCCACAGCATGGCGCGGCGTCCAATGACTTCTAGAAACCGTTCAAATTAATTCGTAGAATGGTAACTGGTCCCCTTTGCGATTAGTTAGGCAATGTTATTCGACATTATTATACATACGCCTATTTCAACACGCGAGCCTTTCTTCGTCGTCACCGGAGGGACGGCGAAACCTAGCCCTGCAGGCCCCGGTGACCGTGTGGGAAGAGCCCTGCCGCTTATCGGAAGCGCGCCGCTGTGGCGACTAGTGAAGGCGCCAGGGTCACTGAACCCATTCCCAAACTCTCGTCACCCGTTGAACTGTTCAGGAAGACGTAGAATGGCTAAAGGGGGTATAACCTGTCAATTACGACAGGATTGTGTACAGTGGTTGATAAAGACTTTCATTGTTGTAACGTTTCGTGTGTGCCTAACGTCACACGTCTACCTGCAGGTGTGAGAGATTGTGGGCTTCATTTCGATGAATTCGTGGCATTTGCTGAAAAGCGATAGTCCGTTTCTTCTCTTCTGGTGGTAATAGAATCACATCGTTTTCCCCAACTTTTCCTTGCGGTCGAAGCAGTGATGATTAAAATACATAATGAAATTAACCCACGAGTTATATTACAACCATAGGTCTATTTCGCCCGACGAGCCACTTTTAATATTACGCAAGGCATCGTACCCTGTATTAAACACCAGATGGTAAGCGCCTACGCGAAATATTGTTTCATAACGTAGTGCATCGTTGCACCGAAACACCCAAACATTCCACTCGAGTACAAGTAGATGATTATGCAGTTCACGCTCAATTTTTTTTTTAAATACTTTTTGTACACCAGCAATACACCGAGTGCGCTTCGCCGTAGAGGCACCGCACGGGACTCGCCTCCCTCCTCGCAGCGGCCGCGGCGCATCGCCGCCAGATGGGTCGCCCCGCCCCCGCCGCACGCGACGCTCACCGCAGCAGCCTCCGCAGCTGACGCGGCGAGCGCCCCCCGCCCCACTCGCCCTCTACCCGGGGCACTCCAATTGATATTACCGCCTCGCCGCGCTCCTCTCTTTCAATTTGCCGTAACACAATACCTAGCGAAGCGTTTTTTTTTCTTCTTCGTAATACTGTATTCGTATGTCGACTTAACGCAACCACAGGAACGAAAAGTCACACTTAACGGCCGTGGTCTGTTAAGAATTAAACAGCTCGTCATCATAACAATTGAAGCCAACGAATTGTACCTGAAAACGGAGGATGAGTACTGGTACTTTAAGAAAATATATTTTTCTCCTCATAAGATAGAATTACGAAAAGTATGAGATGTATACTTCAAAATAAACTTACTTAAACAGACCATTTTTAACACATCTTGTAGTGAACGACGCGAGACACGGCCAGTAACATACGTACCACAGTCCGTTGGTTATTTGGCGTTTGTCGGCCTGACGATAACTATACTTTCGGGGCAGTAAAATCGACGAGCGCGCGCCGCAGACCTTCGCGGCTTCCAAGTGGAAAGGAGAGCACTAAAACTCGAGCCTTGTAGAAGCTAATCTTACAACTAACTTACAGCAAGCATGCCTAAATAGAATAGCGGGTCGGTCGTAGCCTTAGGTCAACAACCTGCTTTATTTTTTCAGGTCGCGATTAAGTTTGACTTTTTCACTAATTCACTCGCCCATTCGTGCTTATTACACCGATCGCGCACGGCTATCATAAGTTCGTGTATATTACATAAAATCTACGTTATGTACAGTCGTTACACTTGCATTTTCACGCCCCGACACCCACTGAACTCAAAGAAGTGAACGCAGACCTCCCTCGAGAGCCCAGACGCCGCCAGGGCGATGCAGCGAAGCTCGAACTGTACCAGCACTCAGCGCGGCCTACGAAAGGAAAAGAGGAGAAATTAATTCGGGGAGCGCTCATACGCTAAGGAGACTTTCTCGTAACTTTCTTTCGAGATGGAAGCCCTTTTCGAGATGCATCTCGGTAAACCAAGAAGTTTCTAAGCAATGTAGGGCACTGCGCTTAAATAACAAGATACGCTCTTATCCTTTTCTGACTATTGTCCTTTCCTTCAAATAACTACACATAATAAGAGTAAATTGCGACCTAAGTTGATGTCTTTCATTTTTAAATGGCATTACAAGACTGAGTCCACATGCCTACTTTCTACTAATTCGCCGATAATTTGAAGAGAGACAGTTTGTTCAGCTTGACATTTCTATTTAAATCATTTAAAGAAAACAGGCACATTCGGTCGTTAAATTAAGTCAATTCGAAACCTGGATTTCAAAGGTTTACATAAAATCAAAAATATTTAGTTATACAAAAATTTTAATTTTAATAGTTATAATTCATAAGTGAGGTGACGGGTCAGCGCCAAAGCAACAAAAGACGTTCAATGATACACAGTACTCGTGGCCCATGAAGTGAATTGTGAAGTGCAACGCATTATAACTATGGCAAAAATGCAAGTGCTTCATTTATAGCAGCATTTACACACGTTGCAAAATAAAATGGAATTCGTCAAAACACAACAAATAAGGGACAAACCGATATAAGCTTGGAATCTAGAAAGAGATTATCAAAGCAAAGGATCCAGGCCGTAAATTTCCTTGAATTAGCATGTTCAAATTTTTGGTTAAACATTAACTGCACAATCACAATTTACTGTTAAATACATCAGAAAAAAAAGATGTCAAGGCCAACATTTTTGCTGAAAAAAATTGTCAATATTATTTAAATTAACGTCAATACGGAAAGTATATTTTTATTTCGAATTTTCAATAATTTATTTTTCTGACCACCGGCACAAAGGATATGTAAATTACATGTCTCTGCTGTGTGTGTGTGTGTGTATGTGTGGTACTGGTCGGGACACCACAACCCTCGTTCGTCTCTCAAGACGCGTCAGTCTTTGTCGAAATATGTGAATAGATTTTTTTTGTTAATTAAACTCGCATCAACTTCTAGGTCATTAGCGACAACTATTGCGTGTAACGGTATGGTAACTATGAGAATGACTCGATATGATAGTGATAGGGGGTGAAAGGACGAACACAACACAACCATGCCCGAGGCGGGGCTCGAACTCGTGATCTTGGCCATCCGGATAGGCGTTAACAGATTGTTGACCTTATTCCTACTGTTCTACCATAACAGTTTCGGTACAAATAGCTCGTTCTTGCCGATTTCCCACAAACTGATGAACCTCAGTTGCAGTATTTTTAGAATAACAATTTCTACGAGCGGGAAAGCACAGATTATTTTCAAGGAACGCACATACTTCAAATATTTCGTAGATAACATAAAATTAAAAAATAATATTTTGGTTTTAATAGTAAAACGGAGACAAATGATTTGCCAAAACGCATATTCAATTGAGGTAACTAACATGACTTTGTCTCATCGATATCGTACCGTTTGGAAATAAAAATAATTGACGCTCATATGTTGGAGATTATTACGAGATCTTACTTTCTCCAGCAATGCCTTGCCATTCGGAGACCGTTTAATATGCGTTTAATAAAGAGATTACGTTCCTCGCAGCCTGAAGCGAGTCGTGCGTGGTCCGGGAAGACCCGGGTGGCAGCCCTGCTCGTGGCTTCTGCCTGTGGCCGGGCGCCCGCGGGCCTGGCCGGCGGGAAGGGGCCGCGGAGCGGGCGGGCGAGCGGGCGAGCGTCCGGCAATTTTCGCCTTCTTCCCCGCCGCGCATTCCTCGCCTGACAAGCTGCTCCGCGATAAATTACGCCTCGAACGGTGCCCCTCCTCGGTGGCTCCCCCGGCCGACAATCGCTTCTTTCCTCCTCGCCACACGCGACGCCTGCGGCACACGCCGCGCCGCCGCGCAGCCGACCTCCGCGTCCAGGGCGCCGGGCCGCGCGCTCGCCAGCGCGGCTGCGCACGTCCCCGCCCGAGAGCGATAGCCTCGGCTGCACACGCCAACCATATGTGGACGGGCGAGATTACTAGCGTAGAGCTGTTGGGTAAATAGTCCCGTGCAAAAAGGAGGCAAATTTCATACGTCAGAGAGGGACACAATCAGGGGCTGATCCAGAAACGAATTTTGGGAGGGCACACGAAAAGGGGCCATCACCGTTCAGAAACTTTAATTGTCGAAGGACAACAGAACACTGGACATGCTTCGATCTCTAAATTTTTAGTTGTGATAATCGTTCCTAGCAACACCCTGCGCATGCTTGGTTAATTGCGTACGAAAATAAGGTAAAATGCGTAATGGTGTAAAATGCAAGTAAATACTGGGCGTTTTCCTTGGATCCACAATCACTTCCAAAATCATGACAATGAATATTTAAATCCGAGACATTCTGCGCTACAATTGGTCTAGGCTAGGCTTCCCGCCGACCACCGATGCTCGGAAGAGCGCTGCGCCAACAGCAAGGGCTCTGGCAGTGCGAACAGAGCTGCCGGGTTTTTAATATTTATTTTAATTTTTTACCCCCTTTCACAGAATTTAAAGTTTGACGTTTTGCTGTTGTGCTTATGAAGAGAATTAAATTTCTTTACTGTACACTGTCTACAATTGACACGTTTCTCTGAAACATCTGTAACTTGTTACTGGGGCGTGTGTCAACATAACCCTAAAATGACACTATTTTATCAATGTAATATGCAGAAGACATTGATGAGATTATGTGAGAAACGAATTACTCAGTGTAGAATTGCAATTATTAGCTAAAAAACTAACTACGTAGGATCATATTGTCTAATTTGGACCAATTATTGTTAGGGCATATTATGTACACCCCAAGAATATACTTTGGAAAGCTTGAAGGTAACGGAGATGCTGTGACCCAGACCGGGAAGCGCAATTTGCTAAATTGGATTTATAGAATGGCGGACGATACTTTTAGTGGGGGATGCGGTGTCCGAAAGGTATTAGAGATGATCTACTTTGCAAAATGCTTTTTGTCCGACGTGATGGATGTACAGGCGAGCCGTCCATAGCGAAGGAGACCTAGACGTTTTATTCGTTGAGAAAGTACAAATCCTGGCTACGTCTTTTGAGTTCCCAGATCCTCCATAGGCCTATGCCCCCCCCCCACACACAAAATAATATAAACGTATGGAAATCCACATGTCGGCAGTGGATGGGTATGCGAACTGTCGCATTCATTTCAAAAACTTTCCAGGAAGAAACTGGCTTGACCTTCTCCTGACCCCTGCCTCTCACCCCCGAGAATTAATATTTAAAAAGAAGGAGAAAATAAGTCACGTCCGCGCTGGCCTTTAATTACTTTAGGACGAGTCAAGTACATTACAGTGAATTCTTCGTCTTCTGACAGGAGGTTTTCCCCCTTGAGTGTTTTTTTTCCTCAGTTGTACCATAACATTTGCGCAGCTTTGATGCAATGGAGAAAAAATCTAGGAAGAATATCACGATATTCGACAGTGTAAAATATGTAATGGTTCAAAGGACTTCGACCCGTCCGTATGATATAGCGCGCCAGCAAAGCATACGTAGTTTATGAGAGTGCTTGCAGGAGAAATTATGTTGGTAAACAAGCTGCAGCTTGAAACAAAAGAAAACGTAAATTGTGAAACCACCACAATCACGATAGATGACGGAAGTGTCTCTTTATTTGTTTCCCAGTGATCTGCTTAGTACGAACATAAATGCATGTTTTAAGAAGCCATCACTCGCCTCGTTGTGGAGAGTCTTCTCTGGCGTACTGTATAAGGTACGTAGACTTAAGCTCGAAAAGAGCTGTTGTGCCAAAGTCCATACAAACATTCCTTTATGTTTCGTTTTAATACGTTTAAACTGAGTATTACTGCACAGCCATCGATGACAGCAAAAGCCTAATACGTGGGTACTTAACTGCTTATCAATTTCATACAAAAATACACAACACGTCCGCTACCGCCACCAATAGCGTTTCCCCTTCCTGCTCTGCGTCTATGTCGCGGCCGCCAGTTAGGCTCTCTGCTGCCGTTCTAGCGATCCCACTTCGCGGACGATAGGCCCAGGGAAGGTGTGGGCGCCGGAGATGCTGGTGTTGATGCTGATAGTGCTGAGACGTGATTGTAATTGTAGTGATGATGAATTGAATTGAATTGATGCCTTATTTTACGTGTCGCGACTCGGACCATCAGGCCCGCTCTTCCGTCTGGCCACGCAAATGTCGATACGCTCCTTTCACCAATTAGCGTAGAAAGGAGGTATTTCTTTAGCGACGAAACAGGCGATTTTGAATTTAGCTCAGAGGCGTGATTTAGGATTGAGGATCTTTTACATGCAAGTACATCTACAACATGGGACAGCCGGCTTTACTTCCCCTCCGAAGGAAGGCGTACGAAGGATTTTTCGACCTTCCACCAAATCGAGCCCGCCACCTTGAGTAACTCCGATACGCTAACCGTTACACCGTTGCCGCCGCCGCGCGGTGATGTTGTTGGATGTTGGATGTTGATGTTGATGTGGATGTGGATGTGGAGGAGGAGGAGGAGGAGAAGGAGGTGATGGTGGTGGCGGAGTGCAGCGCGGCATCGCGCCGCGTCAAGTTCACGCCTGTCAGCCGGGGCCCCAGCTGAGTTTCCCTGGGCTCTTCC